CCCGCAATCTTCTACTGAATCGCAGGACATTATCAGAATGATGAGCGTTATCTGAAAATAATACAATTTGTACATTATTGGTTTGTTAAACATCATGAGGATTCTTGATAATGTTTGGGCGTTCTTGGATCAATAGACAGATGTTTGGATAGCACGAAATATTCATTATATATTTATTTAATATTTAGCAATGTTTTTGTTACTTAAATATTTAATAAATATTTGTAATACAATATTTTTATTAAATATTTATTCCATATCTTTAAAATACTTTAAATACAATATTTCTTTTATAATAGTCATTAAATATTTACTTTTCAATCAATGGAAAATATTAAATTTCCAATATTTAGATTCATTAAATATTTCCGGCTACGGCGCATGTGCGTGTAACCTCGAGCGACCAATAGGATAATAGCAAGCCGGTCTGAGGCGACCCGTTTGCCGGCATTCGTATTGTACACCAGGTCATCTGAATTTGATTTCGTAAAGCTTCCAATGTTTGTGGAGGGTGCGGTGAATTGTGCAACCTTCTTCCCATCATGTCCCATACACGTTCGATGGCGGCCACTGAATCAGATTTACACTGGACGTTTCTAACAAGTCTAAACTAACACGTGCGACATGATGTAGTGCATTGTCCCGTTGAAAAAGCGTATCTTGCAATGTTTCCAAAATGGGAAGCAGATGTCGTTATAAAACTTCATATATCGCGCTGACTGACTCATCTATTTTTATGTTGGATTAGCGACATTGTTGAACTGAACAATAACAACCAAGTAGGTTGCGATGGTGGACAGTATCGTGATCAGAAACCTTTTGTTCATTTGACAGACACCAGCCGCTGAAAAGACGGGCCTCCATCGCTTTGCGTACATCACCAACAGGAGAATGCGTTCCTTTATCAGGTCACATTTAGCCTGATAGTGGAAATCGTAACAGTCCTTCACAATTTCGTGACCGCAATCTTCTACTGAATCGCAGGACATTATCAGAATGATAAGCGTTATCTGGAAATAATACAATTTGTACATTATTGGGTTGTTAAACATCATGAGGATTCTTGATAATGTTTGGGCGTTCTTGGATCAGTAGACAGGTGTTTGGATAGCACGAAATATTCATTATATATTTATTTAATATTTAGCAATATTTTTGTTACTTAAATATTTAATAAATATTTGTAATACAATATTTTTATTAAATATTTATTCAATATCTTTAAAATACTTTAAATACAATATTTCTTTTATAATAGTCATTAAATATTTATTTTTCAATCAATGGAAAATATTAAATTTCCAATATTTAGATTCATTCAATATTTCCGGCTACGGCGCATGTGCGTGTAACCTCGAGCGACCAATAGGATAATAGCAAGCCGGCCTAAGGCGACCCGTTTGCCGGCATCTATTTCACCTGTGACTTTCACTATGATAGCGCTGTGTACCTCCAAGTGGTTCATTATTTGAGTGTTTTTTTTTCATAATAACGATATTTTTTATGGAACACACAAATTGAAAGGCTTATATCGATAAGGTTGAGATTTCTTTATCTAATTTTTGGAATACTCACTATAGATCCTGCAGATACGCAGTAGTTAGGTATCTGCTGTTCAATAAGAGTTGTGTGATGATCAATTGCAAATATGCAATTGAACAGCAAATGTCCCACACTAATTGCTATATAGAAAACCATCACCAAACCAAATACTTTGTTGTTAGCTTCCACTAAATCATACAATCCTTTATAGGCACAAATCGTTTCTTCTATTGTTTCAATTGTCATTTTGATTCCTTTGTTCATCGATTTCGAAAGCTTGTCGCTCAAGTCATTGTATTGCACCTTCAGCATGAAATTCAAACTGAGAAAGTAGCAGGTTATTAAATACATGTAAATGGCTGTTAGGGCTGCTGGTAGATATTCGACAATTTTTTGCTGTAGTTTGTGCAGACAGATCCAAATTGACACCTTCGGCACAACAATCGAAAAGAACGTCACGGTGTTCAGCAGCATAGTTAAATAAAGATTCACCAGTGTGATGTTCTTGTCCAGAGGCACACTCTCGATTTTGCGTACGTGGGCGTTCAATACTCTCCAGCGATGCGTCTTGTAAAAAGTTGCGTTGAAAATGCAGAGCAATAAGAATGTCAGCTCTCCAACTGTAACTCCGTACATTAAGGTTACCGTTATTGTCTTCAATTTCTGGCTCCGCTCGATCTTTTCACGTAACGAAAAGAAACCGGATACCAACGATACTGTTAACATTGCAATACCAGGGAGTTTTGTGCTAAACTTCGTACCGTCGAGTTTGAATGCGCATGGTACTAATCCGCAAAACTTCATGCAGTTCACAACCACGTTCAGGAAGCGGAATTTTTTGTCCATTTCTATCGACGTTTTGAAATGGAATTCCATAAAGCTAAATGTTTTGTATCGGAAAAGCCACTTCATACCTTGACAGTTCGGATAATATCACACTATTTCTGTAATTACGTGATTGCAGTTCGGATAGTACAGGAGTACAACGAATAATAATATCCAGCAAGTTGATGTAAGCTCTGGCTCTCTTCTGAGTACAGGATGTTGGATAATTTTACTGGACTACGTAGGCTCGTGCTGGGGCTTGGATATTTTATGATTGGATCTGATAGTGGGTCATCACAACAAAACAATGTTATGGATTACAATTAGATATACATACATACATTTTCAAAGTTGAGTTATTTTTTTAACTCGTCAAAAGAAGTTGTTATACCAAAAATCACCTATACAGGGTGTTCCTTAATGATATGCGAATATTTAAGGGTGCGAATCTACATGAAAAATTAATGTTAGTTTGCTTTATTGGCCGCGGTGGGCCCCAAGAATGGCCACCAAGGTCCCCAGACCTCAACAGTTTAAATTTCTTTTTGTGGAGCTATCTTAAGACACTACTGTACACAAGGCCCATTATCACTGGTTTTGGTTAATCAATAAAACACAATGATAAATACTATCTAACGGTTGGTCCAAGCAAAACAGTTGTTTAGCCCTTTCAGTACGGGACTTTTTTTAACTCTACTGTCACCACCGCCGACTCATTTTGCATTGTCTGGGCGCCTGATGACGTACACATACGTCACCATAATAAAGGTTAAAGTACAGTAACACAGGGAACAATGCAGCTTAAAAACTTTATTACTCAATAAAAATCAAACATTTAAATGCTGTAAATAAAGGGTTGTCCAATAGGGACGCAGGAAAGTAAACGTCAATTTGACATAGACGCCATCTTTGTTTTCTGTCACCGACATGTCATTTTGTTAGTTGAATGTTTACCATTGATCGCTATGGAGTCGTATTCGATTGAAGACCGCATTAAAGTTATTCAAGAGCACTACAAAAATGGTGCAAAAATAAAAAACACGTTTCGCGCGCTTCGTGAACATTTCGGTCGCAACCTACCGCCCAAACGAAACAACCATCGGTCGTCTGGTGCGTAAATTCGAGGCAACAGGTTCTGTGGAAAATCTGCCAGGCTCTGGCCGGCCAAGGAGCGTTCGCACACCGGAAAATATTGCTGTTGTGAAGGAGAGTGTGAGAGACGATCCGAAACAATCAACAACGCGTCGATCCCAAGAATTGGGCATTTCGAGAACCAGTTTGCGCCGCATTCTCCACAAGGATTTGAATGTACACGCCTACAAGGTCCAATTGACGCAAGAGCTGCGTCGGGCCGACCATTTTTCGCGCCGAACGTTCTCAGATTGGCTCCTTGAACACCGCCAAATTGATGGCAATTTTTCATCAAAAATCATGTTCAGCGACGAAGCGCATTTCACTTTGAATGGGACGGTAAACAAGCAAAACTGCCGCATCTGGACGAACGAAAATCCCCGTGAGTATCAAGAGCAGCCGATGCATCCTCAAAAAGTGACTGTGTGGTGTGCATTGTGGTCAAAAGGCATCATCGGACCTTACTTTTTTGAAAATGCGGCCGGGGACGCCGTTACCGTCAATTCTGAGCGATATCACGTGATGATAGAGGACTATTTTTTGCCGCAACTTGAAGGAATGGATATCGACGATGTTTATTTCCAACAAGACGGTGCAACATGCCACACAACCAACGTCAATATCCATCGATTGCAGTCCTTCTTCGGTGATCGCGTGATTTCGCGCAGAGGAAATGTGCCATGGCCACCAAGATCGTGCGATTTGACTCCCTTGGACTTCTTTTTATGGGCATATTTGAAAAGCAAAGCCCACGTCAAAATTATATACGCCCGAAGTATTTACAGATATTTTGCGACTAAATATTATCTTATCTGTAGGCCTTCTTTGTCAGGAGCGGCTGAGATGTCGTTAACTCTGGTCAAAAAGTGTTTTTTTCAAGAGGATGGCTTCCACCAATTTGCAAAACTACAACTGGAAGAAGAAGGATGATGATTCTCTTCTGTTTCTATTGACGCTAAAGGTCAAAATCCCATAAAAAAAATGGAAGACGTCGCACCCAAACCAAAATGACTAAACTTAAGTCACACAAAAAAAGGGTGCTAGTCCAAGGATTGGCGCTTGGGGCCTAATATCCCAGAGTCCGGAAAATGACGAAACGACCCCCGCACAACGACCTCAACGGAAACAGAAAAGCGAATCACGCAGAACACGTAACGTTCTAGAAGAAGGTATATTGAGTGTCATTGAAGAATATATGTTTTATAGGAAACCAATTAACGGAGAAAAACTACAGAGTTATTTTGCTGATCGTCAACACCATACTGAATCGCTGAGAAAGAAAGATATTGTACGAGTGAAATTACACAATCAATAAACTATTAAATTTGCCAAAAGAAAATCATTGATAAGGGTTTGGCCTAGGAATGGGCACTCTATTATCAATGAAGAGACATTCAAATTACAGATAAGTGATAAATAGTAAAAAAAGGGGTTACGTGATTTTGGCACGCGTCAACCTATATGAACAATCTTTATCATTGTACAAAAACAAAAGTTAACTTGGTATAAGTATTTATTTGCATAATATTATTGGATTACAGCTAAACATACAGTGCTTTTTTACCGCGTATCTATTCATTTTTGGGACGATGTAGTGCAAAATTAAAACTGACAGTTACAAATTTCGTCGTTCAATCCCGTCACTCCATATTTATCCTCGTTTGGTTTGCGTAACGTTATTAAACTGAATAATGACAACACAATAAGTCGTAATGGTGGAGAGCACCGTTATCATGAAATCCTTGTTCATATCACATATCCCAGCGGCGGAATAAACAGGTCGCCATCGCTTAGCGTACTTTACCATCAGCAAAAACCGTTCCTTTATCAGATCGAACTTCGCTTTGTGATGCAAATTGTAGCAATTTTTCACTATCTCCTTACCGCTTTCTTCCACCGAATCGCAGGACATTATCAACGTGAGGAACGTTATCTGAAATTGATACAAGAGACACTATCAGAATATAACTCATATTCGGCCATTTAGAACAATTGTGAATAGTCTAAATATACAGGGTGCGTCATCTATTACTTTTTTCTATTTGAAAAATCAACACGCTTTTTACGAGGTGAAATCGAATTTTTTTATTCATAAATGAAGGTTGGTTTATGCCATTTATGTATGGAAAATAACATCAGTCATGTGACCACCGCGGGTTCGTTTACAGGCCCACATCCGAACATCAAAATTTTCAATGACTTTTCCCAGAATAATCGGGTCTATGGCCTCAATTTCAGTCCGAATATTGCCCTTTAGGTCTTGAATTGTCCGGGGACTATTCACATACACTTTTCCTTTCAAAAATCCCCAAAGAAAATAGTCAAGAGGTGTTAAATCGCACGATCTCGGGGGCCAATTGACATCTGAATTTCGTGAAATTATGCGGTCTCGAAATTTCGTGTCCAATAAGGCGATTGTTTGGCAAGATGTGTGAGCTGTTGCTCCGTCTTGAAACCAAAAATCATCGGTACCAATACGATGCGATTGTGGCCACAAAAAGTCTGTTAACATGCCGCTATAACGTTCCCCGTTGAATAAAGAAGTTGTTCATGATATTGGTGTGGATTTTCAGCTCCCCAGAATCTGCAATCTTGCTTATTTATACTAAGTGACATATAAATCCGAACACCCAGTTTAAATCGTTTTATTTCAATAAAATTTTGTATAAGTACTTAATGAAGCATAATAAGTAAATGATAAAAAGTTCAAAATGATTGCACTGCTTTAAAGCCCCTTGACCTTTAATAATGTGTGGATGCACCCTGATGTGCTACGCTTTCTTCAACGCGCCTAGGCATGCTTCTGATCAGGTGGTCAATGTCCTCCTGTGGTATCTCATTCCAGGCAACTACCAACTCCTCTCGAAGTGCTTCTAGAGTCTGAGGAGGACGTTGCAAATTGAGCAATCTCCTACCCATCATATCCCACACGTGCTCAATTGGGGATAAGTCGGGAGATCTTGGTGGCCATGGTAACAATGTGACATCATTATGTTGAAAGAAGTCTATTGTGACTCTTGCAACATGTGGTCGGGCATTATCTTGTTGTAAAGTTGGATCTGCCAGGGTGTCAAGATAGGGTAAAAGATGGGGTTCTAGAACTTCGTGGATATAACGCTGCGCGTTCATGTTACCTTTGATGAAGATTAAAGGTGACCTGGAACCATAAGCTATAGCACCCCAAACCATAACTCCAACAGTGTGATGAACATGTCTTTCAACAAAAAACTGTGGATTCCTCCTTTCACCACGTCGCCTTCTAACCCTGGCACGACCATCGTGCATGCCTAAACAAAATCGAGACTCGTCACTAAAGACAATACTGTTCCATTCCTGATCCCAGAGTGACCGTTGTCTGCACCACTCAAGGCGATTACGTCGGTGTTCTCGAGTTAAAGGGAGGACCCAGTATGGCCGGTATGAAAACAAGCCAAAACTTCTCATTCGTCGGTAAACACTTCGCATGCCAATAGGTCTTCCGTGTTCTGCAAACCATTCATTTGCAATGGACCTGGTAGTGGAGAAACGGTCCCTTAAGGCCAATAATCTTAAGCGGCGATCTTCACGGTCTGTTGTTCTACGGCGGCGTCCAGTGCCGCTTGCTCTTTGCGTACGGCCTTCTCGAAGCCATGCCTGACAACACCTAACCACAGTGTCTACACTTCTTTGCACTCTAACTGCAATTGCCCGAAAAGAAAGTCCAGCTTCCCGAAGTCCCACTATACGGCCCCTATCAAACTCACTAAGTTGACGAAATCGTACAGGTCTCCGTACTCTAGGCATCGTAACCGATCGTAAAGGATGTCAAGAACCAAAATCCGCCAACGTTGATTCTTTACTGCGGCTGAAATATTCATTTTTAGAGCGTTAGTGAATTAAAAAAAAGCAGTATAAAAACCGGAATGTCCAACTGATAAGGCTGAAATTTTTTGTCACTTGTTGTTTACAGTAAGATAAATACATTCACCAACTTTTATTAAAATAAAACCATTTAAACTGGGTGTTCGGATTCATATGTCACTTAGTATACATACCCATTGAAGTGGACTTTCTTTTCGGGCAATTGCAGTTAGAGTGCAAAGAAGTGTAGACACTGTGGTTAGGTGTTGTCAGGCATGGCTTCGAGAAGGCCGTACGCAAAGAGCAAGAGGCACTGGACGCCGCCGTAGAACAACAGACCGTGAAGATCGCCGCCTAAGATTATTGGCCTTAAGGGACCATTTCTCCACTACCAGGTCCATTGCAAATTAATGGTTTGCAGAACACGGCAGACCTATTGGCATGCGAAGTGTTTACCGACGAATGAGAAGTTTTGGTTTGTTTTCATACCGGCCACACTGGGTCCTCCCTTTAACTCGAGAACACCGACATAATCGCTTTGAGTGGTGCAGACAACGATCACTCTGGGATCAGGAATGGAACAGTATTGTCTTTAGTGACGAGTCTCGATTTTGTTTAGGCATGCACGATGGTCGTGCCAGGGTTAGAAGGCGACGTGGTGAAAGGAGGAATCCACAGTTTTTTGTTGAAAGACATGTTCATCACACTGTTAGAGTTATGGTTTGGGGTGCTATAGCTTATGGTTCCAGGTCACCTTTAATCTTCATCAGAGGTAACATGAACCCGCAGCGTTATATCCACGAAGTTCTAGAACCCCATCTTTTACCCTATCTTGACACCCTGGCAGATCCAACTTTCCAACAAGATAATGCCCGACCACATGTTGCAAGAGTCACAATAAACTTCTTTCAACATAATGATGTCACATTGTTGCCATGGCCACCAAGATCTTCCGACGTATCCCCAATTGAGCACGTGTGGGATATGATGGGTAGGAGATTGCTCAATTTGCAACGTCATCCTCAGACTCTAGAAGCACTTCGAGAGGAGTTGGTGGTTGCCTGGAATGAGATACCACAGGAGGACATTGACCACCTGATCAGAAGCATGCCTAGGCGCGATGGAGAATGCGAAGCACATCAGGGTGCATCCACACATTATTAAAGGTCAAAGGGCTTTAAAGCAGTGCAATCATTTTGAAATTTTTATCATTCACTTATTATGCTTCATTAAGTACTTATACAAAATTTTATTAAAATAAAACCATTTAAACTGGGTGTTCGGATTTATATGTCACTTAGTATATTTCCTTGACATATCGATAATTTTAAAGTTCCACGCTAAATTTCCCTATACTTGACTGGAGTGATAACCGAATTCATTCTTCCCTACTGTCGGCAATTGCAGATAGATATGTTGGCTCTTGGTGTCAAATCTACAGAGCAGGTACCTGATGAGTGGTACAGTTTTTCGTGATGTAGATGTCATACGAGTTAAAAGACATAACATCTCATTTCAGAAATTTTTCGCGATTACAATACTTCCTCGCCAATGACGCGGGAAGTAAAACGGCTTTAAAATCGAGAATACGTCCTTTCTGAGTCCGTACATTGCGCCACAACGCTTGGGTTGGCAGCACGAAACAGTAGACAGAATACGATTTGTCGACGTTTGCGCGCTTCGAAATCGACGCTTTATTTTTTGATATTTTTGGATGAAATTTTCGCAGAGTGCTGAAAACAAAACCCCGCAGGGTGCTACAGAGCCACTTTTTGATTTTTTTCACTAGGTTCTTTTTAAAAAAAATCGCGAAGTTTAACAGAAAAAGTACGCACTTCAACCCATTATAAAACTTGTGCAAAAACAAAATTTCAAAAAGTGCTCCTATAGCACCCTGGGCAACTATCTTCTCAACATACTCTATGAATTTCATTCAAAAATATTGAAAAATGGAGTGTCAGTTTTGAACCGTTGTAAATGGCTTGAAACTAACCGCGTCGGAGCCGCCTTAAAACATGCTGAAATTTCAGTCAATTTAAGCAGTGCCATCTCTTTCACAAACACACAGTACGGAATACTTACGATAAATATCGCCGACAAGATGTAATTCGATACGTGTTGTTCCACGTGTTTCGCATGATGGTCGATGACAAACAAAAAATGGAAAAGCAAATGTCCCATGCTCATTCCAGTATAAAACAGAAGCACGAATCCGAAAACTCTGTTATTAGCCTCTACAACTTCGTACAATCTTTTATAAGTACGGATGATTTCTTCTAACCGTTTGATCGTCGCTGTCACGTCTCTGCTCACGGAAATCGACAGTCTAGAATTTAGTTCTTCGTACTCCGTGCTCAACACGAAATTGACGCTGATAAAATAGCAAGTCAGCAAATACATGTAGAGTGTCGTCAGTAAAGTTGCTAAATATTCGACCAACTTTTCCGATACGATGTTCAGGTGAATCCAAGTGTAAAACTTTGCCGTAACGAGTACGACATACATCAAGGTAATCACTGCCAGCTTCAGGTAGAGCTTCGCGAATGAAACGATTTTTTTCAGAGGCAGTTCGTCCATTTGGCATAAGGCGACATACAAGTTCTTCCATCGGTACGTCTTGTAAAAAGACAGATAGCAAATGCAAATCATTAGGAAAGTCGTCTCTGCCACTATAAGCAAGTACATTAAATATACTGTAAATTTCTGCAGGGTACCACTTCTCTGGATCTTCTTGCCGAATGAGAAGTAACTTGATATTATAGATACCACTAACATTATGGCGCTGGGCATTTTTGATCTAATAGCCGTATTGTTCATTGTGATCCTATATGGATTCACGCCGCAAAACCTCATAACGTTGAGTAAGATTATCATAAGATGGATTTGTCTACTTCTGGGCTTCATTTTAAACGATCTACTTGTATAAATCCAGCGTCGAAAAAGCAACGTCACCCCACAGCAGGATATTTTGGATGATATATTGTCCTGATATGAAGAGCAATTTGACTGATTCTACCACGATATGCTATTTTGTAGTCCAATCTGACACTGCTTCATCACATTTGAAACGTTTATATAGATATATTACACGTT